GTCCCTTCCAACCTTTGTTTTCTGTGACTATGATCTTAAGTCTTTGGTACAAGTAATGTTTTAGACCCAGTTTTGATTTTTTGTTGTTGTTGTTGTTTTTTTTTGTTTTCCTCCCCCTCCCTGCCATCCTCCCTCCTCAACAACCTGTAACTTGTGAGAGAAATAAGTTTTCCATTTTGGTCTCTAGTTACTGTGTCAGTTTTCAACAACTTTTGGCCTGGATCCTGGAATCAGAAGTTCGGAATAATGGGGCCCATCAAAATGAGCTTTTTTCCTCTTATGAATTCTTGATAGGAAAGAGTGCACTAAACCAGAGGTTCCCAAACTTTTTCTTATTGCGTACCCCCTTTCCACATTAACCAGCTGCCTGCATACCCCTACCAGCATATGTTTTATATTTTAACACTAAGTGCCAATTGTTCTTATAATGAAAATTAAATCCGCCGTTACACTATTTCTCTGGCATACCACCCCCAGAGATGTTTTGCATATCCCCAGCATTATGTGTACCACAGTTTGGGAACCCCAGCAGTAGGCAAAAGTATGGGAACTCATTTTACGTCCTTGTGAGTAACTGTTATGTATTTATTATTGCAAATGATATGGTCTCTGTTTTAAGGCAGACTTCTTAGTAAAACCTGGCATTTATCACATCTTTTAATTGAAGATTCTCAAAAAGTAATTAGTGAAGGTTCAAAATATCCTTCGAAGATGTATAAATAAAGTTATTATCCCCAAGGATATTTGTTCAAGGTCACATAAGTCTGTGGCAGGACTGGTAGTAAAGCACAGATTTTTCTCCCAGTCCTGTGCTTTACCTAATCTTTCCTGTTCTTTTTAGATGTCTGTTAGACTCAGAAGGGCAGTCATTAAAATTTTCTTTAAAATGTTTTCATCAGGTGATCAAAAACAGCAAAACGAACATGCCTGAGTTAGAGTTATTTCCTTGCTATCTGCTCTTTTTGAGACAACAGCCTGCCACTCGGACGCAGCAGTCGAACATCTGGGTGAATATGGGTATGACGAGCCTGAGAATGTTTCCTCAACATTTACCTAGAGGTAACTTAAGAATGCAGCAAGAACACACCTGTGCAGTTTCTTTTTCTAAAAAGCAAGATCCAGGAGCATAGACGTTTGCCACTGTGCTTATACATCTTCCAATCATTTGTAA